CCACTGCAGCCCCCCTAAACCCCCCCATTCCACCCCTGAAGGACCTCCAAACCTTCCCATGCCACCCCCAACCACAGACCCACACCCACCCCACTCTCCCCAGGACCATTTGGGACCCCCATATCACCCACCAGGGGGTCACCTACCAGTGGGGCTCCCCCAGTGCTGAGCTGGGGGGTGGGAGCTGTGGAGTACATGTAGCTGAAGAGACGCTCGATCTTCCTCAGAGGGACACCCATGCCCCTGTCACTCATCTGTGAGACACATGAGGGGGTGACACTCTGCTCCTGACCCCCCACCCCAAGTTTTATCCACCTCAGGGACCCCCAGGATGGAGCTGGTGGTCCCTTACCTTGATAGAAAGGTCTTCCTGCCCCAGGGACACCATCACCTTGATGGCAGGGAGCCGTGGGCTGTTCTCGTGGCTCTCCACGGTGGCTCTCATGGCATTCTGGGGACATGGGGCTGGTTTAGGGCTTTAGTGGGTTAGGGGGGACCCCCACAACGCCCCCAACAGGGTTGGGGTTACCTTGAAGAGCTCAAAGAGCATGTGGTAGAGGTGTGAGGGGACGTAGACGATGCTGATGGGCTGCTGGGAGTTGTTGGCTGTGGGGAGACAGAGTGAGCATCACCATTGCTGTGCTCCTCAACCCTAAAGGAGACACCTGAGAATCTCCCTGCCACGGGGACCCCCCAAAATTCAGCCTCACCGTTCACCTCCTCGATCTCCAGGTCAGGTGAGGACATGTAGTACTTGTCACACAGGAGCTTGGCCATGTTGTAGGCATCTGGGAGGGGGAGCAGAAAGGTCAACACCCCCAGAACGAAGCAGGGGGAGCATTTGGGGTCTCTCCTTTTTCCCCCACCCTCAAATATTTTCCAACCCCTACAGACTGAGGAAGTTTTTGAGGTCTTCAGGAGTGACCCCAAAGCTCAGTGGATACTTTGGCTGAGGCCAACCCAAACTCATGACAAATGGCTCCCAAACAGATCCCAGGGAAAGGAGAAGATCGGGGGGGGACCTTCAATCACACTCCCCCCC